ATGGATGGATGGATAGATAGATAGATAGATAGATAGATAGATAGATAGATAGATAGATAGATAGATGGCACATCCTCTCATGATTACCTGATCCATGGTTGGGTTCACATAATACATTTAGCCACAAACTAGCCAATCATATTTCAATCCAGTGTATATATGCAACTATTGTTAACCAAAAGCTCTCAGATTTGGCATCCAGCAGAATGGGAACCATAGTCTGATTCAGTATAAAATGAACACAACCCAAATTAGATCATGATATTTGTACTGCCGTAGTGGTCATTTGGAGGAAAAGAAGATGGGAATTGGTTGGTTCATGGGGGTTTTTTTGTTTTTGTTTTTTTGCCTGTTTCATTCATTTTGAGGTTGGCAGAAGAGTCCAATTTTGGTGCTCTAGAACAGACTGGACACTTCCCAACACTCTTTGCTGATTGCATTAGAAAATTGCTACTGGAAAACAGGCTGTTTTCCAAAGAAGCTTATCTCACTTTGCTGTGCCCTCTATTCTGTGTAAAGGCATGAGTACCATTGGTTAAGTAATCAAGCCTCACAACCACAAGAAAATAATAAATCCAAGAACATTTATCACAAGTTCTAAAAAGCTTTAGGGAAAAACCTCTAAGAAGGAGGGAGGTGCACCATGAGCAACTTACTGATTTGTTTTTGTATATTGTACAAGCAATGATTTGCTTAACTATGGTTTCAATATGTCTCCATTGCTTGAATTCATATGCCACGCAGTAGGCACAGAATACTAACTGATGGGAGAGGAAGGAGTGGAAAACCAGGGAGAAGAAAGAATGCAGGATCCAGGAGTACTGCAGGACAAAAAAATTAAGTGCAATTGATTTCAACTGGTCGACATAAAATATGATTAAAACTGCATCCACCCCAATATATAGAGAGAAGAGTGTGTCAGTACTGCAGCATATGTTATCAAAAAGGTCTGGGCACACTGCAAGCTGTTTGGTGGTTTTCATTTAAAAACCAACATTTTATGGACATTTACCATGTCCTGCATACTTCCTGGACTTTTTGTTTTTCCCTTCATGCTAACTTCCATGGAGGAATTAGTATGAGACCAATTTGAATTCACAAGTAGGTTTTTAACATTTATTTTCTGTCCCAAAACTGTTCACTGGAAAGAAGTTTGCCACGGTGTGTCCATGGTGGCAGTTAGAGGGAACTGCCAACCTTTTTCAAAGAAGGTTGCTTGGAAGGTGAGTTGAACTCAGCCAGAATATTTTCGCTTCATTTCATTTTCCACCTCTTCTCCAAGGACCTGACAGTGATGTACTTGGTTTTCACTTCCCCCCAATTTAGCTGCAAAGTTAGGCTTTGGGTGTATTGACAATAAAGCGCAAAGAGCAGGGAAGGTGTTGTGATTTCAGTTGTGTTGAAAGCAGCCTCCAACATAAGCCAAGGCAGTATGTACATATGATGCTGTAGATTGTATGTTTCCATAACCCCAAAAAGTCATTTTCAGATGAGAAGAGAATACACTAAAGGCAGAGGATCTTATATACATGCACTTTCCTTGAAGAAACACAACCGGGCTATTGAAATGATGATGTTCCAGGCATGATGGTGTTGGGAGGCAATACAAACATTTCCAGCACCTACCCCACACCCCGGTCTGTCTGTTATTATGGTGGTTCTGACACAAAGACATTATCACAGAATTAAACATGTCTAACAGCCAAATGTTTTCAAAACCAAAATGTAGCATTTTAAGCAGCTCACTACATCTGCCGAATTATCTACTTGCAAATCCATGATTGAGTTGTGCCACTTGAGAAAGTAGATAGGGGCTAATGTGACAGTGCTACTCAAGGGGTGGTTCGGTCATTTCTTGGCCCAGCTGGTGAGAAAGAAGAAGTCTATCTTCTGCCTACAGGCTGCCTTTTTCCTAAATCAGGGACTGCCTCTCGAGGGATGAGTTGCTTACCCTGATCGTTCATTGGTTTGCTTGTCTATAAGCATTTCACCCACTGAGAAACTCTGAGATTTCAGCAGCTGCCCTTTAACTAAGCTGAGCTTCAAAGACAAATGGAGATTAAAGGGATAGTAATATGATGGAAGGATTTTCATGGCAATTGCAAATTGCTAAATAAGGTCATCAAGAGTTTAGTGTTTAAATTGAATTATTTTTTTATTGGAAATTGCACACACATCAAAACATCAGCAGAAATTCAATTACAGTGGCATGTCTCCCTCAGAAAAGTCTGTATAATATAACCCATCAAGAGGAATGCAGTTGACCATTCAGTATGTTATCTGAGATTTAACAGGTCTCTGTTCTTTTTGCCTGTCTTCATGCAGGAGTAACAATAAAAAATTACCAAGTACTGGGAGACTGGTGTAGGCCTGGACAGATGAATGTAGTTTAAATAGAATATACTTATCTCTTGTACAATATTTTAATCAAATGGTGCTTTTCCTTCCTGACATTTATCTTAGGGTAGACAAAGAGGTTTCACAGCTGAAGCTTCATCAACCTTACCCTGCTCAAAAGAAAGCCGAGGAAAGGGGTTGCCTGCCTAGGAACTTCATATAAACTATTCTTTGCAAAAGGAAAGGCAGGATTTTAGGGGGAAAATGCTCCTGCTCAAGATAACTTAAATCCTGATATCCCATTTATAAGGCATCTTATACTGGATTCCCAGAAGAAACAGTGGATGCTTTTTTAATGTTTTTCCCATAATTTCCACCCCAAAGCAAGAGTGACCAACAGAAGCGGGACTAAGGCTATCACCCACTGGAAAACTGCACAGGACTGCATAAAAGGGTTCAGAAAGCTGCCAGTTGCCCTTGTTTCTGCAGTAGACTTGGGGAAATATGAGAAGTTATCCAATAGTCTTTTTTTTTATTTTAGAAAAAAAACATAATCAAAATTCTCTTCTAGAAGGGAAAGAGGGGAAAAGTAGCAGCAGAAAATATGAAAAAAAAAGCCCCATTATTACGATTTAGCTTGCAGTCTGAGACACTAAAGCACTTACTATCTTGGTGAAAACACACCAGGGATCAAAAATTAGCATGAGCTGGATCTGGCAGCTTCTTTTCACAGGACTCCTTCTCAGCACAGTGGGGAGAGCAGGAGTGATACTACTGAGATTAGGGCTGAGTTCATGCTAAGCCAAGGTTTGTTTTTTCAGGGTTTACTGAATAAATTATAATTGGCTTAATTGCACCGTGTGGCATGTATTCATGGTCTACAAATGGCAGAGACTGGATTCACATAACAAAAATAGCAAACCGTATTATGATTTAGTGCATTATGTGAACCCAGCTGAAATGTAAAACAGGAAGGCCAAAGGAGCTTGATGGGTTAGCCAGGACTTACAGGAATACGCCCGCAGCCTCCGGAATAGGAAAACGGCTCCCCTCTTACCGGTTTGTTTTCTTCCCCCCACCATCATTTTTCATGATTGGTTGCGCTACTCCTCCCCTGCGAGCCACATCCTGGGGCTTCTGACTAGAACTGTTTGCACAAATTAACATATGGTTAATATGAACTATGGTCTGCTGAATTAACTCAACTGCCCATGTTCACGCAACATACTGAATTATAAAGCCTAGCATATTAGGTGAACCCAGACACATTCTCACAAACCGGAGACCCTCAACAGGCATACGAAGAAGGCAGGAAGAGGGTTTATCTCCCATGGACAAGGTGCCTCTAGTGTGGTGTGCTGGGGCTGTACCTGAAGAACTGGATGTGTTCACGATTACTACATGTAATTTTCGAAATTAAAAATATTCCATACTCTTCCAAATGTTTCATCATTAAAAATTCAGCAGCAGCTTTTGAGGGGCCACAGGTTGTACTCCACTGGCCTAATATTGAAGTACAGGATTCTCAGAGAAATGTGTCACCAATGAATAACATCTCTTCTTTGCTCTAGATGTCCTATATGCCAGCCTTCCCCTATCTGGTGTACACTAGAATTGAGACTTCAGCTACACCTGGGGAGCTCAGTTGGAGGAAGCATATGGGAATTCATTCTACAACTGGGAATTCATTCTACAAGAATGAATAACAGTCCCATTTTGTACACAATCCACACACAGGAAAGGGTTGCCAGCTTGGCGGACTCCCAAGACTGGGGAAAGACAAACGCATTCAGTGCCATGGGCAGGAAAAAGGCACAGAACTCAGGCCAAGGACTACAAGGACAGAAAGCAAGAGGGACAAACGGAATGGCATATTCTGAAAGAAGAGATGCCTGGCAGCTATCCTGAGCAGAAATTATTCACACTGCGATCTTTTGTGATAGATATCACTTTATGCTGAGAACAGAGGTTAAGTACATTTTAAAAAATCACTTTAGTCTTTTAGATGAAAAGGGGAAGTCACGTTTGTCATCTCTCATTGGTTAAAGGTTTTATAAGGAAAGACTAAAAGATGAGCAGCTATAGCACTACTGTAATGTTGTTATTAATCTCTTTTAAGGAGAGCCTCCTCAGCATTTTGCCTCTCCCTTGTGACTAGAAGATGACCGAAAAAGCAAAACTGATGGGAGGGAGGGAGGGGGTTCTTTTTTTAAAACATAGCATTCTCAGCACAGAATCCAGAACAGCTTTAGAACAGAAGGCACCCAGCTCCAATTACAATTGTTCCTATGAGATTTTAGTCACAGAGACTGGAAACTGCCTGATAGCAAATCATTTATCCATCTAGCCTGGTAGTAGTTCTCCAGCAGACATTTTTCCCATCCCCTCCTGCCTCCCCTAAAGTGGTTGTGGAAAGCAGCTCTTGGACCTTCGGCAAAAACACCCTCTTCATATATCAAAGCACTGGACTCGTTGAGGGTGGGTGGCAGTCTGCTCTGCCTGGGCACTAGAAACCATTCTGATAGCCACCAACCTTGAATTTCATTGCCTGCTTAAGAGGCCCTCCATGCCTTCAGAACCAGCGTTTTTAGCTCCCCCTTTTGGCTTCACTGATCATCTAGTCCAAGGCATGGACAACTGGAGGCCATCCAGGGACTGGTCAGTTAACACTGACCTCTCTGGTAGAGACGCTGCAGTGAGTGAACACTCAGCAACATCTGGAAGGCTGCAGGCTACCCACCTTGAAACAGACAAAGCGAAGCAGAAGCATGCGCTCCATTTTGTTCCCTTTGGTTAGCCAAACTAAGGTACAGCCTAATATAGATCCCAAAAGCCAGTCACAGGCCACCTCCAGCTGTCCAGGTTCCAAGCTGCCAGCCAGAAGGATTGGCAAAGCTTGTGGAAAGTATGCCCCTTTAAAAACAGGATGGGGGAGAGAAGTGACTTTTGGAAAGCAACAAGAGGATTACTGTTAATCCAACTCACACATCTAACCTGAAGGCGGATACTATATAAAATTAGGCACACAAAAACACAGTCCTGCATTGAAGAGTGGTGTCTGCTGTAAATGGGCAGCATCTCTCACAGGTATGGTTCTGAGAAGTTTCAGGCCACTCCCCTTGTCGGGGTCCTTTTCCATCTCAGCCCACTTCAGGGGTGTCTGCAAGGGAGTAAAAAAAGTCAACATGGTTGCTATAACCATGCAACCAAAGCCTCACCTCTTTTAAAGTGTGTTATGATGCGTGTAAAAAAGAGGTAGGGCTTCAATCATGACTCTGGCAGCTATCTTGACTTTTTTGACCCCCACTGCTACCGCTGGTCCAGTCTCACAATTTTGCGAGGCAGCACTTTTGAACAGAAGTGCTAACTGACAGAAGGCCACCAGGACAATGTCAGACCACCGAGACATATTTCTGCTTTCGCACGTTTAGGTTCTACACTTTGAGCAGCTTTTCCTGCTCCCTGTTGTTACACACAGAATGCTGGCTTGCAGAATGCAGCCAGCAGATGGTTCAGTCAGCTAAGCTTTCATCTTTTAAGAACTCAATACTCTACCACAAAATGTTGTATTTCACAACCTGTTTATGATTGGAAAAAAATATATGTGGATTTCACTTGCCTGATTTATCCTGCTTGATTAAGTCATACAGAACAAGACCAGAGGATACTAAAGTTTCAGCCTGAAATCATTCCTGAGCTTGTTTGACTGCTTCCAGAGGGGGCAATCAAATCCCCAACTGCAGCAAAATACAACAAAGAGACTTGTAGCACCTTAAGGATAAGATCTTCTTCAAGTCAAGCTTGACTCTTGGGGAAACTCTTGGGCACATCTATGTAGTTTTCTTGGCAATATTGCAGAAGTGGCCTGCCATTGCATGCTGGGATGCTTTTTCAACTTCCCAATTTGGCCTGTGATCCTGGTATTTCCCAGATGTCTCCCATCAAAGAACTAACCAGGCCCCAACCTACTTCTTCCCCCAGTGGGTTGCAACAGAACTCTACCCGTTCCTGGAACTCTGCCAGATATTGCCAACACATTAAGCCTAAATCTAAGATCAGCTTTTTTCCCCCAACTGTCATCATGCAATCACGTAAAACAGATTTTCCCAATTAAAATCATAATCATTCAAATCTCCCAAAATCATCAAAGTTCATCTGCTTTTAATTACTTCAACCTGGTATTCTCACACAAGAGTTTGTGAAAGCAGAATTGATGCATGGAATTTCATGTGAGAAAGCTAACGTCTTGTAAGATACTGATTTTTTGTTGTTCATTTTGGGGATCCTAGCCATCTGGAATTCCATGTTGATGATCTCTTGCCTTAGACTGCAATTCTATGTGCATATACAGGTAGTCCTCAGTTAGCAATCACCACTGGGACCAGCACCTTGGTCATTAAGCCAAGCAGTCACTAAGTAAAACTGCACCTGTGCTTACTTCAGCTTTCCTTTGTTTTACAGACCTACAAAGGTCATAAATACAAGGAACGGTAATAAAGTTACTTTTTCATCACCATCATAACTTTCAACAACCTAAACAAGGTTCCTCTGTAGGTAGACATACGTAAGATTCCATTGTTAGTCTTGGAAAGGTTTGAATTTGTGCCAGAGGAAGGTAACCAGGTATCCTGGACTTCAACTTTCATCAGGCCCAACCAGCATTTCCTATGACAAAGGACTACAGGAATTATAGTCCAAAACATCAAGAAGCGAGCAGCTTTTCTGCTCCAGTTTGAACAGAACTGGAGGTAGGTGGAAAAGTTTTAACTGAACTGAGGTGGGCGGAAAAGCTGTAATAAAAGGTGCTCCTTTTCTCTCTCCAGAACTGAAAATGAAAGTGCGTAGACTTACGGGTTTTGAGTCTCCTGATAAACCCTTTCCACATTGACCCAGATACCAAGCGCATTTCTCAAGACTGGGGGTCACCCTCAAAAGCATCTCCCTCAAGTTATGGCGAACAGCGCAACCCGGAGTAGATGGGATTCCCCATGACTGTGTCTTACAAGGGATGAGGATGAGCAAACTGTTGTTCAGGCAAGTCTAGCTGCTACTGCCAATTTTCTTGTGCAGCAGCCTGATAATCTAAATAAATTAACAGCTCCCCTGTTTAAAATTCACTGCATTACAATAACACCATAGAACCAAAACCTCATGTTTAAAACACCCCTTTCAAATCACAGATGAATTGGCAAGCACTGCCACCTGGTGGATGATTAGAGCTAAAATACCCACATGAGCCAGTCTGGCTCCATTACGCTTTTTATTTTGATACTTCTCTGGTCATGGGTAATTTCTGAACCCTTTGGCACTCTTCAAGTAAAAAGCACTTTGGCCTCCTGTTACTTTCTCTGGTTTTCCCAGAGGCAGAAAACTGCTCAAGTGTTCACAGTCCACATGTAACGAGTTCTTTAAGTGTTAAATGTTGCTGAACTTGATGCCCCTGAAAGGCTTCCGTGATGAGAAAATTTAATGAGCAACAAAATCCTGAGGTCATCTGCCTCTGCAAACAATCAACGTTTCTTGGCATAAATATCCAGGCACTTTGTCACCTTCAGCTCCAACACCAAAAGAGAAGAATTTTAAGTTCCAAGAATGGTCTGCTTTTGAATACAGAGGGACTTGACTGGTCCAGCAATGGATCATAGCCACAGTAGCTCCAAAAAGAGAAGATCATACAGGAAACTTCTCCAGGCCTTCTGAGTGGCAAGCGATTCAGGAAAAACAGAACACTGGCCGAAATGGAATTTTGTGATGAGTCTTATCTCACACGTACATAAAAAAACCCACTCCACTCTATAGTGTCTGTATTGCTATTTTAAAAACAGGGAGCAGATGTGGAGAAGAGGAGAAATGCTATTTATTTCCCCTCCAGATCTGGCTTGCAGTTCATCTTGAAATTTCTCAAACAGCTTCGGCGGCTTGGTAGGAAAAGTTTGTGTCATTAAAATGTCACAAATTAATCCCGACAGTTTTTTTAAAGTAAATCCCAAAGATTTTCCCCTTCCAGTTGGAAGCTAATTCTGAGTGATAGTCCAGCAGTAAATCTGGTTTTGTTGTTGTTGTTGTTGTCAGGGCTTTTGGAGCAACAGCAATAATACATAATGAAGTGATGTGACTGAACATATATAAAGTCCATGCCAACAAGGAATAAGGATTACTGTGATGGGATATATATGTGCACAAAGCTTGAAGACAGAAGACAGCTGAACCCAGCACCACATATTATTGATTTTTTAAAAAGTCATTGCAGTATAGAATCTATTTTCTACTTTTCTCATGACTGGCAAGGAAGTAATAAGCTCCTGATGCAGAGTTTCTCAACCTTCACGACCTGAGATGTGTGGACTTCAACTTCCAGAATTCCCCAGCTAGCATGGGAGTTGAAGTCCACACATCTTCAAGTTGCCAAGGTTGAGAAACCCTGTCCTGATGGCTTGCTGAAAAAGGGGAGCCTCTCAGTGAAGCAGCATTATAGGACCACTTGTCTGAAACAATTCAGATTTCAAGTCAACAACAGCACAAAAAAGGATTGTGGTTTGCCAGACCTGCTGCCGCCATTTTCCCAAGCAGCTTGCGAAGTCCTTTCAACAAAATCTATTGGACCAGCCAAAACCCACAGAACTCCTTTTTAAAAAAGGAAAAAGAAACAGAGTAGAACAAAACTTCCCCTGCTCTCTCCAGAGCAGTGTAGGAAGAACTGGGGAAGGCAAAGGAAAGGTTCCCAAAACAAGTCCCAGGGAGACAAGAGGCATGTCTTGATACAAGAAGAAAAGGCAGCCAGGTTATTACACGATGGCCACAGAATCCTGATAGGGATGCTTTTGAAATATAAAAACAGAAGCAGTAGAGCAAACTGTCACCAATTCTCAGAACAAAGTAGGCTTAGAACAGCATACTCCTCAGATGCTAGAAATCAAAGCAATAGGTGTCTTTTGTACATGGCTGCCCATGGCCTTTTCCACGTTACCCTCCACCACAGGCTTTAGTCTATTTTAAGAATATCAGAGTTGGCCTTCAGAAGATAAAGGCTGTCATCAACAAGGAAACTGTGAAGAGAAAAGAAGAAAGTTACTAGGATGAATGACCAATAATGGATTAAGGCTAATTTTAAGTTCAAAACAGGAATGGACATGTTTTTTCAGGCCATGAGCTGCAATCAGTGTTCAAAATCATGCTGGGAGAGCGTGAAAAATGGGGAGAACCAAAATAGGTAGGACCTAAATTGGGCTACATAATAATGATTATTACCACTGCTATTATTTTCTCAGTAGTCTAAGTGGCCTTTTCTGATGATGATTCTTCCTTGATGATAGATCCTTCACTGAACCAGTTAAATGTGGAAATCTATCTATCTACCTACCTACCACAAACGTCTACCCCATTGAAATCAAAGCTGTTCTCAGCAGCCTAGAGTATATATAAGGAAGAATCTGTGATCAGGTTAAAACCAATCATCATGTAAAACCCCACACAAAAACATCACTCATCCCCAAGATATAAAGATAAAAGAAGAAAAACACAGAGAGCAGCAAGAAAACAAGATAGAATCAAATAAGAACTTTAAAAAAGGCACTCTGAAATAATTCATTTTTTTAACATTTTCCAGAAAGCCAGCAAGGAAGGGACCTGCTTGATCTACACTGGGAAACTGTTCCAGAACTCTGGTGCTGCTGCGCAAAGGCAGCACCTTCTTGCTTCAGCACCCTGAACTTCTAAAGCATGCAGCACTATGAGTAGTTTCTCTCTAGATCTTCTAATAGTTTGGACTGACACTGGTTAAAGCAGGCAGTCCTGTAAGCATTCAGGTACCAAACCACAGAGATCTCTACAGGTCAAAACTAGTGCCTTAAATTGTTCCCAAAACTGATCAGTAACCCTCAGAATCAGTATTATATACTCCTGGTGACAAAAGCCAGTAAGTACACAGGCTGCTGTGTTCTGGCCAGTTGTAGTTCCCAAGTAGTCTTTAAGGACAGCCCCATGTAAAGCACATTGTAGTAGTCTAGCTGGATTATAATAAGGACATAGGTTACTGTAGCCAGGTTTTTCTGTCCCAAGTATGACCACAATTGGCACACCAGCCAAAGCTGGGCATAGGCCCCTCTGGCCACAGCAGCACCCCACGTATCAGGGGCCATCAGGCTGATATCTCCTCTCTACTATCTCAGACTGAAATTGCCCACTGAGGAAAGAACAGAACCATTGGAAAACAAAGCCTCCTATCCCAAACCCCTGTAGGTAGTCCAATGGATGTCAAGGTTGATGATATCAAAAACCACTGAGAGATCCAACAGGACCAGGAAGCACACACTGTCCCCATCAATGTCTAGAAACAGGTCATCCAAGAGAAAGGCCAATGTTGTCTCTGTTCCATACCCGGGCTTGAAAAATGTCTGAAAAGGGTCTAGATAATCCACTGTATCTAGAGTGCTGTGAAGCTGGTCAGCCACCATTATCTCAACAAACTTCTCCCCAAATGTTGGGCCATTCTCATATTTTGCAACAGTACTTTCAGAGGTCCACCAGCAGAAGAGCACACACAAAGAAAGTATGAAGGATGAAACGTGCAAAATAGGCTGACCTATAGAAAAGGATATTGACAGGGATGGTACTGATATGCCAGATGGCATGGGCATCAAAGACCCAAAACAGGGGTGGAAAATCCAGGAGTTCCAGGAGAGCCAAGGCTTGGAGAAGCAAGACAACTGCCACACACTTCCAAACATAGGGCAGGCGTTGCTGGTTCCGCATACACCAGCCTAGCCACCAGAAGAGATTGAGGAGGCCTGCAAGGTACAGAACAATACTTCATGTTAATATCACTGTTCATACTAATTGGTCACAGCAGAAAGAAGAATCTTTTGTTGCCACAGACATTGGGGGTTCCAACAGCACCAACACCCTGATCACACTGCTTCCCCCTCAGAACTAAATGCTGAGAACATTGAAAGTATCCAAGGGTCATTCCCCCATCCCATCCGTCTTTAGCAGAACGACACAGAGAGGACTAAAACAAACAGAAAAAAGAGAAAAGGATAACTGTGCAAAAAGGTAAACAGGAAAGGAAAAAAGTCTCATAAAGTAGTAAGAATATTTAACATTTAGAAAAAACACTGACACAAATGGGCTAAAGCTATTTTACAGATAAAATAAAAGTATTGCTTCCTCGGGTCTCACCAATTGCCACATTGGCAGCCATATTGTAACCATAATCAAAGCGTACAAGGGTCAAATAGGAAACATGGCAGGCCAGGAAAAGGAGCAGGAAACCCCCAAAGGCAGTGGCAAAAGCCGGACGTTTCAAGCCTAGAGTTCTGCAAGAAAAAAAAAGATGAAGTTGAAGATATTTCAAAGAACTGCATCATTTTGCACAGATCATGTTCTGTCCCTAGTTTTGACTGAACAGAAAAAGAGATACAGTAGTACTTTTTTCAATAAGTACAAATTGGTCACCGCTGTAGGAGAGAATTCCACATTAATTCAAGTAAGGGATTCTATTCTAGCCTGTGGCAACTTTCCATCCCCAAGATGCCACTATCCCCATTTTTTCCCTCAGGAAAAGGGGGCAAAATTTATCCTAACTAATCCTTCAATGTTAGAGATTTGGGGGGAGCTATTTAGGAAGGCCTTTGGTGAAACTGATGTAGGAATTAGCTATGGGGGTCAGGAACTGTCGTGAGCTGTAGCCCTATTGTTTTTTGGGAAAGCCACCAAAACCTGATTATTCCAGCAAGCTTTGGGGCAGATGTATTAAGAGGAGAACCCTCCAGTTAGGGATTACTCCAGTTGGTTGTTCCTCAGCTACTAGGTTGACAATAGACTAATGTTCCTATACTGAAGAATACAAGCCGCTCAGAGTCCTGTTTGGACTGGAGCAGGAAACAAGTGGCAGTAAATAAATAAATAAACTATGAATGTAACTTGTATATTGGTTGCATATATACATGAGCTTTCATTAAGAAACATTTCTTGTCTTATCATGTCTCACCATTTCATACTGATGGCACTATATGCTATGGTAAATTATTGTAAGAGACTGTCTTGAACAGGTAAAATTACACTTTTCTTTCTCTAAAGTCCTCTCCTTTACCTAAAACTGACACCCTTCAAATATTTTGGAGCTTCCTCTTCCAACAACTCTAGACAACATGGACAAAGATTGCTACACATATGTGAATAGGAATATGGGGAGCTATACTCCCAACACACCAGAAGGACACCAATTTGGGGGAAAGCTGCTCTAGAAAAACAGAAGGGAAAGTCAGGATTGGACATAAGAAAATATATGACCTACATCAGTTGGACTAATTTTTACATTAATTAATCAGATCCTCTATCACTTTCTGTGTAGTAAGACATCTTAAAATGGCACAGAGACATTTTAATCAAATAACTATAATGATAATGATGATACAACCACTAAAAGATTAGGTGAACTTTGGTCTTATGTAGCAACTTACCTGACACAACACAAGTACACAGAGTAAAGGATGACTGCTGATGCACAGAAATAGTCCATTTTCTATGAGAAGAGAAACTGAATTAGAGATGTGGACCAGATCTTATTCAATGCTATATTCACCTAAAAAATATATCCATGGTATCACAATACAAAAGCTCACCTCAGTCAGATTTGTTTCTCGAGTATGAAAAACCATAGACCAGAACCAGGCATTTAAAGACACCTGAAGGAGAAGTGCAAGAAAGAATTAGCCTGAGTACACTCCCTTCCAACCAACAACCAGGATCCAACCAACAAAGCTGCAGTTGAAACACAGCGGAAACGTATGAAATGGTGCACTCTGTTAACAGCCTGTACGGCTATCAAATGGTACTTGATTATACTGTATCAACAAGCTCGAATAGGCTACTGATCCAAAAATGAAGAAGACTGGGGAGGAAGCCTGCTTCTCAAACCCCTATTTCTTCCTTGCCTAGGCACTGATGTTTGGAGATGAGTTTAAAAAACTAGATTTCTTCTTGCCCAATTTTCTTTTTCTATTTAGCTGTTGGCTTAGACAGGTTATGCTCCCTGAAACTCAGCTTCTCACTCAGTCAAGTGATAACAGTACTATTGTCCGTTAAATATATTGAATGAAAATAGATGCAACACTAATTTCAGATGAGGCACAAGGGGAGCCAGACAAAGGCCAGAGATTGTCCACTTCTGTCCTAACAGAAGGACAGAGAGCTTTTAGATGGCTGGGACTTTGATGCCTCCGAAGAGGTTGGACCAGTATTTAAGGAATAAAGGCTGGGGGTTGTTTTCTCTATGTGATACACCTAAAAAAAAAATCACTTGCTTACTTTCACTTATCATTTTCTGACTGTTCTAGCAGCACCATTTCTAGAATTTTTGAGAGGCTGTTACAGATCACAAGTTTAAAAGCAGCATTGAAAGACATTGGCTAATTCAGGAATATTTTCTAAGATACTCAAATCATCATTTTAAAGTACTGATAGAATGTTCTGGATCTGTCCCTTGTAGTGGATACCCTCTTTCTTACTTTCTTCAAATGCCATTTCTTGAAATAATTTCCTTTCTTTTCACTTAAGTCTTAAAACTGTAAGAAGCCTTCTTTTGCAAATTTCATACATCACACTACATCACAATTTATAAATTAAATCAGTAACCTGATTTCACACAACACACTGAGCCAGAAGTACACAATCTGAAGCCCAGTCTAGTAAGTACCACCCCCACCATAATCTGTTAGATCAATATCCCATCTTTTTTCCAGGTAGTAAAAGAAGTCCTTTGTTTTATTCCCACCAAAATAACTTGTGAGAAAGCTTGGACTGGGATTATGTGAATGGCAAAAAATCGCCCCATGCCTGAGAGTGGATTTGAACCCATGTCTTCCCAGTTATGTTATGTCATGTTAAAGTGTATTATGGTCATCCTTTGCAACAGCTTGACCTCTACATAACACTGTCTCACAGTCCTAAAAGTTCTCCAAATTTTTATCAAATTGCCACTTTTTTGTGATGTGTGTATGCTAGAAAACAGCGTGTTTAATTTTAATTATACTTAAATTAAACCAAATCACATTAAATGTGGATTTTTTTTTCTGGCCCCACCCCTTACTTTTTGGAATATCTCCTCCCATACTCAACAATAGCCAAGTGCAATCATTAGCTCAGAATGCTGTAAACTTCTACACTAAACCATGTTTATGTATCATGATGGCTGGACTCAGCCAAAACTTTAACTCAAACAAGGCTTAGGATGTTATGTGAGCCCAGCTTTCTTGTATAGTAGTAACTTCCTTCCATTTGGTAAAGATAAGGAAGCCAGGATTCTTGAACCTGGAAACATTGTTAAAAATGACTTACCCAAGCAAAGGCAATACATGTATGATACATAGGAGAAGAACGGGGGACAGTGGCTTTATATCTGTTCAGCATCACCAAATTGGCAAGACCATTAAGGAGTGAAGCAAAGGCAGAAGCAGGCTCCTGAAAAAACAGGAAACGAGAAAAGGGCCACTATGGGGGGAGGTAGGGAGGAGGAAGAGAAGATGATAAAGAATGTTATCAGTTGGAAATGAGAGTATCTGCACACTTTCCTATGATTGCTTAAACCCAATCCTAAAGTAGGCGGAGAAAAGGAGAAATTGCAGTTCAGTTTCTTCCCCAATGTCCCCAGAAATAAAGATAACTGAGAGCTTGTCTTTTTCTTTTGACCAAGGACTACTTCATTTACAATTGCATAGCTGATTTCTGAAATAAATAGCTGGGCAGAAGCTTACATATGGGTATTCTCTTTTCTGGTGCTTACAGGGTAGAAATACCCAAAGTGCTGGTACAGACTACAGAGCCATTTGGCAGACTCTTGCCTTGTTGCTTGCTCTGCCTCCCTTGCTAGTGTACCAAAAAGGAAGTATTTCCCTGCTCTCTGGCATATGCAGGTTTTGCTTGCTCAAAACCCCAGAGTCAAGGCCTGGATCTCAGATAATAGAACTAGCAGAGGCTTAACTGAAAAAGCCCTGAAGAGTAATTGCCAGCCCAAGTAGATACTATTGAGTTAAATGGACAAAGAGTTGAGCCAATCTGTACAGGTGAGCCAACCTGGCTTCACAAACATGGCTTACCTTTCCATGAAACTGAGGCACTTTATATCCCTCCTGGAGGTAAAGCCCCACAGTCAGCCACATACATTCATATTTGCAATCATCTCTGCAGGTCCATCCTAGAATACAAAAGAGGGAAAACCTGGTAAAATTAGGGTAAGTGATATATTTGGGCAACACTTGACAGCAGTGCATTACTGCAAAATTTCTAATGGAATGAGGTAAGATTAAGATACTCAAATTCGCAAAGTATATTTTATTTTATTAAAAACAATCATTTTTAAGGTGTGGTGACTTGCCTCACTCTGATTTTATATTGTTCTTGCCAAGTTTCTGTGGCTGAAACTAACACGGCTCATGTTTCTTGCTTTTGTTTTTAAGACCGCATCACATATTTGCAAACTGGTCTTACGCTATTGGCAATAATGGAAACTAAAATGTAAACACAATGTTACTTTTAGAATCATGAACTGATGTCCAATATGGATTTCTTAAAATTAAATGCTTATTAAAAAATTGAGTCTGTTACAGAGATATAATTTGGGAAAAGAGGGTAAATAACGGTTTGTGAGAAATACTTGTTTATACTCCCAAGACTCCAATGCTTTTCAGTGTCTGCACAAAAGCGCTTGGAAATGTTCAACTATTCAGTGGTAATGTTTCATGCTACCAATAAATGCAGGGCATATATGGAATATGTTGCCCAAAATACACAAAGTCAGCAATAGCCCTGTTATCTTTTTATTACACTAGAGATACATTATTCATATCTGCTGCACTAAAAGTATTGTCAGAGTATGGGTACAACTTTTCTTTGGAGCCCAGTTGGGACCACTCACCTCATTAGAAAGTGTGCAATCTAAATTCTAAAGGAGTGTATTTCAAGTCCCACAAAGTGTGCCTAATGTTTTCTTGAGCCACAAGGTTGGTATGACCAAAACTGAAACTCATATTTGGATATGCATCCTCTCTTGGTGGCTAAAGTTATTTCTTTCCCCTTTGGGCTTGACACTCCTGATTTTAATTGATGACTTTGTTTCATCTTGGAACAGGACACTGCAAGAGAACTGAATACTATGGTTTCTTAGCCAATGCACTCATGATAATGGGGTATGAGCATGCAATGGCAGTCCTTAATCAAGGTGCCATGGATTTGGAAAGCTAATCAGATTTGGCTGCCATACCCAAAGATGTGTTATTGGAAAGTCACTTGCTTTTTTTTTTCAAGCCGGTTAGATTATTTAAGCCAAGTAACAGTTCCCAAATGCCAAAGAGCCTTAATTCTGACAAGATTTAATGCTCTTCCAACATTAGCTTTCAGGACGAAATTACAGGTATCCCATCTGAACAAAAACTTTGCCACTGTGGTGAAAGAGCTGCTGAAACACTAACTCACATTTTCCTATATTGCCCTTCTTAGAAAGATGCCTAGCTGCAGCTAGTAACTCCCTGTCTAGTTAGCTTTCCAGATCCCAAAGATCTACTTTATTTACTGTTGTTACTCTCTGATGAACATGATTTGATTTCTCTAAATGTGGCTAAGTTTTGTTTTGCTTTAAATAAAACAGCCATTCTTTGACCATAAGATTTTATAATTATTAAGTTTTACAATGATTTTTATTTGCTATTTCAGAATTTGTTTTTGCTTTTGAACTGGTCAATGACTGTAATAGAGTTTACTACTACTATTTTACAGCAACCCTGAGGAGTAGATTAAGGCTGAAAGTTATTTTGTGAGTTTCATAATAAATAAGGATCGGAAACTAGATCTTCCCAGCTCTAGTCCAGCATTCTAAACATTACAACACATTTACTTGGGACAATGGTTTGGTTTTTTTAAAACTGAAATTGCCAAATAAATATATACAGGATCCAATTGCATGTAAACCTCTTATACTACTCACAAAGGACTGATTAATTAAAGAACTGTGATTCCTCTCATGTAACACTGTAACCTCAAATGAACTTAATGGCTGACAAAGGGCTAAATTGCATCTATAAGATTCTAAAATGAGCTTCTTTACTACAGTAATGTAATCCATAAAGAAACCTGGGAGAAATAAATCCAATGAGGAAAAAGCCAATTGGGAGGTGGAGCTCTAATCAGATAAGCTTTAAAAACAATGAAGCAGGATTATAATATTGTATACTAACCCAAACTTTACTTAACAATGGCTTACTATACTAACCCAGTTGGCTAATTTTGCTCAACACACTGCACCATAAACTAACTATACTCGCTATGTTCATGTAGCACACTCAGTTACAAACTGAAAAGTAAAATCTCCTTCAGGTTGAGCTTGACTCCCAGTGGCTACAGCAACATTAAATATGCAGGTAAATTTCTTGAC